CCAACGAATAGTGGGATTGACCGTCACATTATTACGCCCCCACGGCTGAAAGGGCGAGCATGTTTGGTGTGACGGGGATCCGAACCCAGATGGCGTTTGTGAAGTTGATGAACATATATATTTAATGGTATCAACTTCAACCTCGAAGAAATACGTTTATCAGAGTGCTGCTTGAGTGCAAATACACGAAGCAATTGAGGAAAGTAGCGGTCATTATATTAACGGATGTTTCTATTTTCACCCAATTGATAGTTTTGTCTCGTGTTTACAATCACAACCATTGGCAATAAAGGGTAAAAATAGTCCCCAAATATAGCAATCGATGAAATAATTATTAATTATGTCGATAGAGAAGAAAACTTAATAGAACTGATAAAGTGAAATACACACTCCATATAAAAGTAGAGCACATGAACTTTTCACGATATGGGTGCAAATACACGAAACAATTGAGGTTCAAGCAGCACTCTGATAAACGTGTCTCTTCGAGGTTGAAGTTGATACCACATATCGTGAAAAGTTCATGTGCTCTACTTTCCTCAATTGTTTCGTGTATTTGCACTCAAGCAGCACTCTGATAAACGTGTCTCTTCGAGGTTGAAGTTGATACCACATATCGTGAAAAGTTCATGTGCTCTAACAATTGGTTGATTAAAAGAATGACATATTAAAGATGTACACTGCACAGTCCAAACACGGATGAGTATTTCAAGTTATTATCGTGGTCCTATAAACCAATAAAACAGCGTAGCGCTCTCAAGTGGAATTTCCAGTAAACAATTTATGATTTATTAAAGTTCGCGCGTAATCACGCGATAGGAACATAAAATGGGATGTAAATTAACTACACATTATTTAAAAACTTCAGCTTAAATTGTGCTATTGCAAGAATACTATAATTGTTTCAGTTCACTGTTATAGAGAGCGGTTAAAATAATATATATATATATATATGTGGATATTCGTCAATAAACCGCCAGTTCTTCTCTTTAGTCGAATAACATAGAGTTGCGCATGCTCACTTCCACTTTCTATTATGATATAAGGTAAAATTATTAAGTACTTGTATTTTATCGCAAATCTACGAAGGTTGCTAACGCTGTTCCTAATTTTGAACTACCAACCATGCTAAGGGATTGGTTGTCACTGTTACAACGCACCCACAATTTAATGTTGGAGGATGGAAGTTTCGTGGCTCGCGCGGATTCGAATCAGGAACAACAGCTCTGAAATCCAGGGCCAACACGCGCCCAAAAATATAAAAAGAAATCCTCCATAGATGACCAGTACAACTAAACAATGTTTTTGGATAATCATTAAATTAAGTGTTATCGTAAAGATTAAAAGCTTTAAACCTACTTTACAAATGTTAAGACCGTTAAGTATTGCATGTCAATTACACATTTAGTTCATAACCAATACTTCTGGTATGTATGCAGGATGAGATAGTTTCTTACCATGCATATTTTGTCTTCTTTTTTTTTAATTGTACATATTCATTAACAAATTGTGAAATGCAAATATATACTAGCTTACAAATTGATGAAAATTGGGAATATTTATTCTTTTGATAAATTATTAAATAAATAGTTTGTAGATATTACGAGTTATGGAATTAGTCGAGAGGCCTATTAAGCAGTGACTTGTGGGAGGCAAAAGATAGCTCTTAAATGCTATTTTTACATACCTCTGATTTTGAATAAGAAATAGACAGATTAAGAGGAATATGGAAGAAACTCTACAGTTTACATGGTTTTTATTCCATATATTACGCCTATTATTGTGTAGATAATTCAATAGCACACTCTCACAATATACAATCTGCGAATTTAAATCCTGATAAGTATACACTATGAGATTACATCTGTCAGATGGTAACACTACTTTTTAACCTAAAGAATGGTGGCAGAAGTGAAAACAGACTGCTGAAGGCAAAGTATGTGAACTTCAAAGGCTTTATTATAAGAAATGTTCCCACGCGTCAGATCATTCTGCGACGGTTTATTCAGTTCCAGTAAAAATGTTACATTGTCATGATGTTTTTTCAGTTCCTGAAGAGACAGACTGCATTACCAAGGGTCTGAATGACGTACCCCCTGAAACATTTTATAACTATATCCACTTTCGTAATTATTAAAAATACAATTTGTTAAGGAATATTACCTAGACCTGTCGATTTAAGATTGTGCCCCCTCTGGCCAAAACTTGTAGCAACACTATTGAATATTTATAATGTTATTTACATCTACATTATCAGCAAAACGTGTCAGAAAAGTTAACTATGGGTTAATTAGTTAAACTGGAGAAACTAGAAATGAAATAAATTTGTAGCTAATACTATGTTTTATTTCGCAACTAAGATGGTAAAATGGTGTTTGTATAGTCTATTATGGCAAATAACCTGAACGTACAAACGTAAATTGAAATACACAACTGTGAGAATTTCATCTCTGTCAGTTAAATATAATTTTGGATAACACAACAAAAGCAAAACAACTGAATAAAATAACAAAGAAAAAATATTCAATGGCTTATAGTTTTCACATCTCTGAAGAATTCGATAATATATTAATGTTTTCGGCTTACGGTTTCCTTGTCAGTAAATAATATCACATGTTTTCGGCTTACGGTTTCCTTGTCAGTAAATAATATCACATGTTTTCGGCTTACGGTTTCCTTGTCAGTAAATAATATCACATGTTTTCGGCTTACGGTTTCCTTGTCAGTAAATAATATCACATGTTTTCGGCTTACGGTTTCCTT